GTGAAAATATGCTTCAAGCATTTTGTGATGGGTTTCGTATCAAGTGTCCTAAGCCACCATCTGGTTTTCCTCCATCAGCCTGCCAGTAGTTGACCATTCAGTTTTAGCAAGACATCTTAGACATGCCAACATTGTACTTGGAACAAAGAAACACATGTTGATTTTGGATGCCATTGTACTTTGCTTTGTGGTTTGATTTATTTATTTATTTGACAGTGTTAAAAATTCACATAAATATTTATATTATTTTAACTTATCCAAAATATTATTTGATGATTCGACAAATGAAATGAATTGGAAATCAGTTCAATTTAAGTTTATTTAATTTCAATATATATTTGATGATTCTAACAGTACAGATGGATAGAAAATTACCCCAAATTCTTAACCTATTTTTGGGAATGATATGATCCAAAAATTTATTAAAAAGAAAGATACTGAATCCCCTCCCTTGCACGCGGTTGATTCATTGGCTGCCAAAGTCCTGTTGTTATTATTGTCATCATCCGAGAATACTCCAACTTGGCCTTGGAACGTTGCAGTAGTAGCTCTGGACATTGGGTTCTGGAATTTTCACGTCTTTCGACTCAAGCCTATACCTGTAGCAAACCAAAATCTCGAGCACAAACACATCTGTGGTGTTACCATCCGAGATTTTGTTGGCCAAGTCATCAGCCACGTAAGCATCGAGCGTGGAGAGTTTGAAACTAACTAGTGTTTGGTTTGTGGTGGTTAGAAGCAAGGGACGCAACGACGTTGCTGCCAGCAGCACACATTGGTACTTTTGATCTAGCTCCGTAACATGTTGGTAGACGGGACTGTTGTAGAAGAGCGAGGCCTGGAGGCTGTCACAGTAGATGTCCCACTTCTTGTTGGGGTTCATGGCTAGGAGCGTCAGGTTCCATATGGCGGTGAACTCGGAGGGGGTATTGTTGCGTGGGTATTGCAGGGCCGCTGAGTGGACTAGGAACTCAGGGTCATACGCTCTTGGACGGGTCAACAACAAGGTGAGGGCCAATGGGGCTAGAATGAAATAGGGGACCACGATACACATGATGCAAAAGAACGTTCCCTCACAGTCGAAGAAGGGTTGCCGTATGGGCTGATCATTAGAAGCGGAAGCCGGGATTAAGATGTTGGTGGCTGTTTGGACTCCGGTAACCATGATTTTAGAGATGTTGGTGGCTTCTCGGACTTCGGCTTTGGCTTTGGCTTTGGCTTCCGGCCGGTAGTACTAGTACTAATAGTGGCCAAGCAACCATGATTTTAGAGAGATTATTATTCAATATTTCATGGGATAATTAGATTTGACTTGGGATATATTAGAATTAGATTTAGATTGTACCAACCTTAATTATATAATTATCTTGTATATTAAGACATTTTTGTTTGTTTATCTTTTAATATATATATATATATATATTTGTTTGATTACGATAGACTAGTCAAGTCAAACAACTCCTCCAGTTATGGTGAAAATGAGTTTGTCATTAGACTAGAGACTAGTCACATACCTATTGCAATTGTGAAAAAAGAATTAGGATGTTTTTTTAAGAATAGAACCTCAATCGTGTTATAAAAAAAATAGAAAACTTTGAGCATTGTAGAACTTATAAACGATGTCTCAAAGAACTGCCTTATTTAAATTATGAAATTGGTGGAGCACTAAGGCAAATGCTTCTCAATTCAAAATCATCAACCAACAATGCTTTCTTTGGAAGGCATGTCTGACTAAGGCCAATGCAAGCCTTGTAAGTGGGTCTAATCTAAGTAATGTGGTTAGTACCCATTTTATTTGAGCTTTAAATTTGTTATTGCAATTTTATTCAAGTCCTAACTCTTCTTAAATAGACTTCAAAAAATAGTGAAAACAAATCAAGATTACAGGAAGATATGATGTAGGGTAAAGGAAAATTTCCATTCAGAAAATAATGGCAACAAGACAAGAGGGATAATAATTCAAGGAGGAGATGAGGGGATAGAGGAAGTGCAGAGAATCCAATAAAGGAGGAGATGAGGAAATAGAGGAGATGGCACAGATGTAAGAAATAATTACTAGAAAACAAGAGGAGATGGCCACCAAGTCAAAAAATAATTCAAGCCATGTGGGATAATGGCCTAAAAGTTCACTTTAATTGAAATAAAATTAAGTTTGTCAAATTTTTATTTTTTTTAGGTTAAAATGTTCTGAAAAACAAATCATGAAGTTATAAACAAAAATTAGCTCAAGAATAATTAACCACAAAAAATTAAACTATTTTTAAACAATTTAATAAGGCTATGTTCTCAAAAAATTTGAGTTTGGAGGGTTGGAGGAAAAAACTGTTTGAGTTCGGGCAATACATGAATAGTTGTATTTTGAAAGGTGAAAATTTGGGTTTAGCCCCTTTAGCATTGGAGATGGCCTAAAGCTGAATAAAGGGCTAAAAGCCCAGAGAGGAACTCAATTGCGTGTAAATGCAGCCTCTTGTATTGTAGCTCTATGAAAATAATAGAACAGTGCTTCCAAAAGCCAAAATAATTTTCTTTTCCCTTTCATTCAGCAGTGAACTACACTTGAAAGGAATCAAGCATGGCTTTTAGAGTCTTCTGAGAAGCTTGCCATTGCTTGTCACTTGCACTTACCACAAATAATACAACAGTGTTTCCCTTGGCTGTTGCCTTTGCAAGATTGTGAGAACCTGTAAGAGCAAACGGGGTCTCCAGCGCATACTTGTAGTACTGCATACAAAAACAACAGAGGAAAGCTTGCATGAAATTGCTACCAACGGAAAGAATTCATGTTCAGGTAAGGGTAGAAAAAGAGAGAGCTTCTTAAGCATACACAAAAACAGAAAAAATCAACATACTACAATGTGATGAGGAAAACATGGAGGAAAAATGAGAGTATAAGACGATGACAAGCTGGATGGCCAAGAAAGATTGTACCGTCAGATCGCCGCGCTTTTCAACTGTCGTCTCAAGAAGCTCATCTGGATCATATGTGTTTCCTGTAACAAAAGGGCCAAGAGAAGCAATCACCTTCTCAGGGTTGCCAATATCTTCAATTGTTGCGTTGGGTTTATTTGTCAGGCGTATCAAAGGTGAAGCCACAACCTGAAGTTTTCCCTGTTTTTCGTCTTCAAATTTTACCTCCACCCAGGGCTCTGCACACTTTGGCTGGCAGTAATTACCAGATAAAATGTTTGCCACACGCATCTGTTTCCAGGTTGGGGGAATAATGAACTGGTAAGGCTGCACATTTCCTGCAAAGAACAGAGTTTCTAGTATCAATCATCAAAAGAGATAAAATTTCAACTAAGAAATGAGTTGATGTTATTAATTTTCTCTTATAATTTTTAGAATTTGATCCAGATAAATGCACCAAGAGCATAGACCAATAACAAACCCAAAATCCTAAAATCTGCGCTGGAAACTTTGGAGGGTAAAAATGAAACTACAAACTCAGGAAACTACCCACGGAAAAGCAACTTTGTATGGACAAAACAAACATCATTTGTACTCCAGCTTCAAGAAACTGCAGCTCTCTGAAGTGATCCTTTTTTTTTTTAATTAACTGGAAAAAAGTTATGTATATTCTATTAGTATATATGTATCTTGAAGCTCACAACCATCCAGATTTCAAACCAATTGTTCTCTGTAAAATGGCTAGCTAGCACAAACAGAAACGATAAAGAACAATCATTTCAGCATTTTGATATTCCTCTGAGAGTCCTACCTCTTATTTTCTGCTCAGATGCTAATCTACTTCATTTACTGTCTGTCATTTTCTAGAAAATTGTGGCACTCTTCTTAGTCTTCTAAAGTCCAGTCCTGAAACTCAACAGTCCTTCCTCCTCCTTTATTGTCGGCTCCTGAACACTCTCCTTACCACTTTTTCTTCATGGAGGCTAGAAGATTGATTGACCTGGTGAGTAGAGAAAGCATTTCTTCACAGCTGAAATCTTCATGCTCAGGCTACAAGATTGCAGGTCACTCAATCCTCACCTCTCCTTACCACTATGTCATTGTCGACGTCAATTTTGTCTATAAATAGACAAGCACCCCATCCAAAGGAACTAGCTATTTCTGCACAATCTGAATATTCTCAGTGTCCCCTTTATTACAATTTCTAGTCAAGGCTCAGACTTGGCTTGTTCTTCAACTCAAATCAGCCCTAAAGTTATGAAGCAGACATTCTCTTGTACCTTTCGGGATACCTTCTAATATTCTTCTCTTTTTCATCCAGAGTAATAGTGTCACTTATCTAGTTTTCTCTCAGGTTAGATTGGATCCATTTAACTTCCTATGACCACAGTAAGCTAAACTCCTCCTTCACTTTACATTTCAAACAGGATTATATATTTGAGAAATCATCAAACCGTGGAAAACTTTCATTCGGCGATTCAGAAGAGCTGGACATTTTTGCTACTAAAGCAAAACATACCTCAAATGCGGTAGTGCAGATTCTAAGTGAGTCTTTAGCCTCCACTGAAGAAGTCTTAACAAAGAACTAGCTTCTCACACACACATACTCGATTCACTTATTGTAATACCATCACCTCAGTACAGAGAGGCCAGGATTGATTGACCAGCAAAGCTTTCTGATACTTTCCTGTCGTTACTCAAACAAGGAGCAAAAAAGCACCAAAGAATACAAGTAGATATACACCCACACAAACATACTACACCTTCAAACAAAACCAAAACAAAATGTTTCTAATTCCTAGAAAAATTAAAAATCACAAACCCCACTTCTGATACAGTCTCTTATTTGAATAAGATTCCTGGACACTGTTCAAAACCAAACATAGAAAATCTTCCTGTAATTGCATGATGCTCTCTCTGCTCCTCAGTAAAAACCATGATTATGATTTTGGAATCTCTTTCATACCAGACTCCATGACAGTACAAAATGAAGCTCGAATGCTTTAGATTACCAACTGACCAACTGTAACGGCATATCCTATCCCAATCAAACAACTGACTCATCACACATTTACATTTCAGAAAGAAGATTTGTCCAGGTTCTTCTTCTTGAGAAACCACATTTAGTCTTTCGGTGTAGAGAAGTAGCGTAGCGCAGGCTGCCGGTTTTTCCACAACTAGCAGACTTATCTTTCATAATAATTCTGTCATTGATAGCTAAGCTAGTGATATAATAAATGGATCGTTTAGCAAGGAATTGCACGATTTGCTACATCATTTCCCAGTCCAAGACACCCTCAAACCTACTTCCAAATTTAGTCAGAAACTTGTTAACTAACCCAAATTCTTTTTTCTTTTTCTTCTTGTTCATTATATATAATTAAGCAGCAATGAAAATGTAGGTTCAGTGGAGCAAAATTAAAGAAGAGTCATGAGTGAATGATTAAAGAAAGAAATAAATAAAAATGAAGTAAAGTAAGTACCTGCGCGAAGAGCGGGAGTGTCTTTAGCAGAGGCTTTGAAGAGAACGAAGGAAGGGTCGGAAGGTGAGGGTGGGAGGAAGGAGCCCACCACCGCCTCCTTAGCTTCTGCTGAAGGCAGAGTAAGTGGCTCTTTTAATATTGACTCAACCAGAGCAAGAGGAAGCAGACCAAGTCCTCCTTTCAACAACAATTCTCTTCGTTTTTTACTCTGTGCCTGCTGCTGATAATTATGACGAGGCAATGGAGAAGGCGAGAGAAGTGGGGGCAGTTTTGAACGTGAAGAAGAAGTAGAATGGCTGTTTGAGGAGGAGGAGATGAGAGAAGAGGTTATTGGAGGAGGCAGAGGACCGGTAGCCATATTTTTTTTTAAGAAGAGAAGGATTTGATTTGAAATTGAAAGGGTGGATATGGTATGGATAATAATATTGACTCAACCTGCCCCTGGCCCTCCCTCTCTTATCCAATATGGCAATATCCAGTCTTTGCTTTTTGCTTGGTTCACTCACTTCACAAACAATCTTAAGGCTGATAAAATGGCGCGTCCATTTATTCTACAAAAAAAAAAAAAAGAACAAATTTAATTTCCCTCCTTTTTGTAGTCTTCTTTGCGCTTTTGTTTTAATTGACGTGCATAACCAGCCTCAACTTTTTTTCCTCGAAACCAAAAGGAAAGTTCAACAATTCTACTAATGATAGTTAGGCCAAACTAATGCGAATTATTTAGAAAACAAAAGGCCTTTAATTAAATTTCATTAATTTGTTAGTTGGCCAAAGCAGTGTGTGCCTATGACTAATCTCTTTGTACTCGAGTTCAAATCCTCACCATGTACATTCGAATATTGTTGTTGTCAGAAAAATAAAAGTGTTGCTAATTTAGTACATGGGTAGTTAAATACGAATTTGAATTTAACGGCCACATGGTATAGTTTGTTTTCGTGTTATAATATGGGTGGACAACATAATTTCCCACTTTTTTAGGAATAGTATCAATAAATATCCATCTGTATTATAATTTACATTTACAATTAACAACATAACTTACATTTGCACTACTCAAGTCAAACTAGCATAACTTACAATTGCAATTAACATACTTGTATTAATAAAAGGAAAAAGCTTGGCTCTTTATTATAAAAAGGAACTCCTCATCATTTTACAAGATTCTTCAGCATAGTATGGACGATGACGATATCTCCATGCATATATTCATTAATTAAGTTACCATTGATATTACATATTCAAAAGCCAAGCATAAATACATCAACTACACCCATGTCAATGTCATCCCAGTTCGTAAGTTGTTACTCAGAGCAAAGCAAGCAACCCACACAACCGAGACCGACAACATCGAAATTGGAAAAGTCTTCTAGAACGGCAGCATTTACGTTTAGGAGGCGAGCAACAACGAAGCTTCCTGGTTTCGGAATTGAAGCAAAGGAAATGGTTGACATTTTCGAAGTGGAATTTAGCCTGAATTTCGCAGAAAGAAAAACCCAGAAGAAATTTTTTTTAAGACAAAAGAGAGAGAGGAGGAGGAGCCTCTCGCTGGTTGAGGGCAGTTCATTTGACTTGGAATTTTGGAAGAAAAACCAAAAACCCAAGACTAAAGCTTTAGCTAGAAAACCAGAGATAGGAGTTCAGACTTTTTTTTAAAAACAAATTCATTACCTCTTCTGTATGTCCTCTCTTCTGGCTTTGAGTTTATTCACTACAATTCAGGTACTGCTTCCTTAATTTTGGCTCTTCATTGCTTTGTTCCAATTTTAATTTAGAATTTCATGTTATGTTATTTTTATTTATCAGCTTGTAGTTTGTTTACAAATACCCTACTGTCATGGATCTAAAATCCCATTTCTTTTCATAGATTTAAGCATTTGTTCTGATGCATGCCATGTTCATCTTTTTATTACTTTGCAGATTGTGTGTAACCCTCATGGTTTCTCAACAAGGACAAATTAATTGTCATGCTTGAATCTGATTGTTAAGTTTGGGACTTGGTGCTGCCCAAGTTTTTGTTTTCTTTTTCGTCTTTGCTTTTGCTTTTCGGGACAAAATATGTCGTCTGCATTGACCACTAAAGTTCGACTGGTTAGCTGTCCTAATTGTCTGCAGCTTCTTCCAGAGTTGCCAGATCTTCATTTCTACAAGTGTGGTAAATGTGGTGCTATCAAAGTCAGAGGTAATCAAATCATCCTCTCTTTAATCTAGCTATCTGTTAGATTGTAGGGGAAACAATAAAGTGATTTTATTAGATTGGAGGAGAATAGTACATGACTAGGTGTAGGCTAATTGGCCTCCTTAACTTATTGGCTTATTGGCCATCACACTTGATCTAGATTAGTTTTGAGCTATTTGACCCTTCACTTCGATTGGTGAGCTCATGGGCTCCTCAACATAGCTTTCTTTGGGTAGTTCTTGGCTCCCTTATGGTTTAGGAGTTCTTTTTGGTTGAACTCCATATCTGGTTTGGGAGTTCTATTTGTTGAACTGCACCTTATATGAGTACAACCATGCCTATTTATAGGCTTTGATTGCCGACATACACAGCCACCGACTTGGGCTTCTTCATTTCTTAGCCACATATGTGTCTTGTACTAGAATGTTCTTCAAACTTCAATTGCTTTTGTTCCACCGCCTTGAGCATTCAGCCGCTGCTAGCTTGTTCTAGAATATTCTTGCATTGCCATCTCCATCTTTTGAAGTCTTGACTTCTCTAGAATTGTATAGAACACAAATGAGCATTATTTTTTCAACACTATCTACTTCATTTGTTGTTTAATTCATTTCAGCATAGAGATTTTCTGGATATTAAAACATCTTTCTGTGGGATTAGGCTGATTATAACCCTCAATGTCTTCATACTTAGTAAATATATTTGTCATTACTTTCTCAAATGATTATAGATTAAAAGAATTAATTTGTGTTCCTTCTCCTGGCCCTAGCATCATGAAACACCCTTGCTACAAAGCCTCTGTTTCCTCTGCTCTGTCATATATATCTGCCCTCTTCTTTCGCTTCTTTCCCTTCACTGCATATGGCCTCACCATTTCCGTAGCTTGCAGTCACCATTTTTATCCTCAACAGCAACCTCAATCTCTGCAAGCCTTGGCATGCATCGAGTCTTCAACAATCTCAATCTCTCCAAACTCAGCTGAAGCTACATAAATAACGAAAGGAAAGAGTAATTCAATTCTGAGGGGCTAATGTAATTTATGAGAGCCTTTCCAATTCAGATCCCTCAATCAGCTGAGTTTGGCTACTCTTCTTTTGATCGAATACACGTAGAGGTAGAGCATACTATTTGGAGTCTGATCTCAACTGTTCAGTGCCCTGCCTTGAAAATCTACTATGCAGGACTTATGGAGAGCTATAGAGAAAAGAGGAGAGATTGAGTTGGAGAAAATATATGATAGGGTCTGAAGCAGAGATATGTGGTGTGTTATAGAAAAAGGAGTTCCTTCCTACCAAGTCTGTGGATGTGATCAAGGATATGTATAATAGGGTGATGACTTGATTTTTTATTGAGTTAATCGGTATACATGATTTTTTATATCCTTGTTTAGTTTATTTGTGCAGAATTAGAGAGTTTACCTTTGCTTGGTTCCCACTATGACCACAGCTACTATGACAACAACGACTATGACGATCAACACTACCAGACAACTGTAATGTTAAAAACTCATAATCATGATGAAGTCACTTTTGTTTCTTATTTCTTGCCATATTTTATAATTAATCCAACTTATTTTCAGTTTCAGGGCTCTGTTGATTCCAATCCGATTGTGCATCCTTTAGCTTCCATTAGTCCCCGTGCTGATACTGACTATGACGTGCTAGCCAACTTATTGCCAGTTGAATTGGATATTGACAGTGCGGTAAGGATAGTGGTCAAAACACATAACAATCAAGGGCGGAACTAGGAATTTTTCAACCGGTGGGCTAGTTAAAGTTATTAGCTTAAAATTTAATGATTATTTTTTTTGGTACTTACAATTTCTATAGTCTTTCTAGAAATAAAAGTAAACATTAAATCATATAAACCACGCAAGTTCATAGCTCCATAGACTAATTTTCAATAAGTTTTAACCAGGGACGGACCCAGGATTTCAAACTTGACTGGGCTAAATTTACCTTACATATAAACATCCTGCGTGCATTCTCTTTTTTATATTTTTTTTATCCTATGTGCTGTAGGCTGCAGCTTTCCTATTCTCCCTTTTATAAGTTTTATTCCCCACGTGAAGGCATGACTAGGATATTCAATTGGATTCCTAAGAAGGGTAGGACTAGGATAATAGGATATTCAATTGGAGCTGGCTGGGCTATATTTAGTTTTTGGGTTGGGATTTTAAAAGCCACCTGGGCTGTAGCCCAGGTTAGCCAAACCTGTGTACCGTCCCTGGTTTTAACATAAACCAAATAGGGTTTAACACCATAGGATTGAACATCTAAGACTTTTTACCTAGATTAACCTTAGGTCCCTTCATGCATTCATATCATACATGAAAAATTGTTTTATGTAAAAATATTGACTAAGTATGAAAAATGGTTTTTCGGAATAATCATTTTCTCAAGATAATTTTTAGGGGCTTTTATTCCTCACACATCAAATAAGAAAATTTGATTTTATGGGATTTTAGTATGAAGTATATATTGACTTCATGAGCCATCATTTTTAGCCTAAATCGTATTTTGCACTAAAACCAATTTTTCATATTCTGATTTGGTGGGAATTTGATTTTCTAGTATTTTTTTTTTTTATTTGAATCCAAATGGGGGGTACGTCCTTATTTACATTGTAAACTTAAGTAAATAGAGTAATATAGAAATAAATGAAAGTAAAAGGACCAAGCCATTTACTTATTTTTAACCTTGACATATTATCTTGCAACACTTTATAGTTTTAGTTAAACTTATTTCCTCAGGGCTCTGATGACTTCGATCCTCGTGTTAGCAGTGGCGGACCTGTGCAGGCGCAAGGAGGTGCACCTGCACCTCCGATCGCCGGAAAAATCCATTACAGCCTCTGGTGTTGCACCTCTGCTTCAGACCAGATATGCACACAATCTGTTAGACGAAATGCACAAACTAACTCTGCGCTGTGCTGCTGGTTCTTGCACGCTGCGCGCAGCACGCGACACCTTGTTTTTTTTTAGGCTTAAATGTCAAAATGGTCCCTGTGTTTTACCCATTTGGCCAATTTAGTCCCTGTGTTTTTAATTTGGCTAATTTAGTCTTTGTGTTTACATCTGTTAGCCAATGTAGGACAATCCGTCAAATAGATGTTTTATCATCACCATCACCATCATGTTCATACTCATTAGTATGTATCAGTACATCATAAAAATCTTGAGGCTCACCATGATACAAAGCACTTCTCTCTTCTTGAAATAAGTGATCATCACTGAGACTATATGAACCATACCTATTTTCATCAACTTGACTAAACAGGTCATCATGGATTTCATTAAATGATTCTCCATAATCTATATTAGCTTGTGACATTGGTGGTTGGGTTAAGTCGCCAATAACCTCATGAACATCACTATCATGCTCTACATAGACAGTCATTTGCCTATTCCTAGGTATTGAGCTCACAAAACCTAAAATGTGTTCATCTTTCTCCAATGCATAAAGACCATATGCTGGTTCATGGCCTGGAAGTGTGTAATAAAAATATTTGGAGTTTTGAACACCCAACTCTTGTATCAGGTCTTTAATTTCTAATGTAGACAACCTATCAACATCTACATTATCAAAATAAGTCACCATACCATTTATATAATGGGTTCTTGGAGTGTGCACAAAATGTCCACCGTATCTAAATTCAATAGTCATGTGATCAGCATCTGCACAACAAAAGTAATAGACTTCTATTAATAAAGAAATTTTTTATCTGCACAACATATGGTTTGAGATTGGTACTCTTATTGATGTGAGTGGGTCATAAAATCCAACATTATGTATGCTTAGTTTACTATTTTATTTCTTAAAGACAAAGCCTGTGAAAGGGAGAGTGTCCATTACTTTTATCACTAGAAGGTACATGCTCTGTCCTTTTTTCTTTGGTTTAAAGAGATTTCCATTAAAGCAAAGCAGCAAAACAAACAAGCATCAAAACAAGAAATCAAGAAAGCGAAAAAATAGTTAACAAGCAAGACCTGTGTACCAACAACGAGACAATGAAACGAACTTTACACTGAAGGAAAACAAGCATAGGGTCCAAACTCGAGAATACTCACCTGGGTTGATTGAGCCTCTATCAGATTCGATTCGTCTCCATGCCATCTTTATTCGGACTAGTGAAGCGATTGATATTCAAGGGAACTGATTGAATTTGAAACCCCAATTCTCATGAACGCAGACTATGGCAGTTGCCATTGGCGCCAAGGAATAGAGTCGTGAGGGTTTTGGTTTGTGTTAAAATACCTTTATGCCCACTCATGTGCTATGCACATGTCTATTTTAACATCTATTTGACGGATTGTCCTACATTGGCTCACAGATGTAAACACAGGGACTAAATTAGCCAAATTAAAAACACAGGGACTAAATTGGCCGAATGGGTAAAACACAGGGACCATTTTGACATTTAAGCCTTCTTTTTTAATGAAGCCTGGCCAAAACGACGTAGTTTTGGACCAGGCTGTTTAAATGGCGCTGCTTATTTTTATATATTTAACCTGGCCAAAACGACGTCGTTTTGGACCAGGGTTTTTTTTTTAAAAAGGAGGAAAAAATAGGGAAGCTGCTGGGCCATTTCGTGGGCTTTTCTAAGGCTTCTATAATTCCTTCTATAATTGGGTTTTAATTGGGCTACTATAATTTCTTACATAATTGGGTTTTAATTGGGAGTTCTCTTTATTCAATTGGGTTTTGGGAATTCCTTATTTGAATGGGATTGGGAATTCTCTTTATAAAAGACCAATTTCACATCACCCAAATTCATCAAACCCTTATTTTGTTTTAATTGTACAGTTATGGAACGGTACTTTAAGAGAAAGAGTTTAAATCCTCCTTCAAATAATCCGAGTAGTTCAAATCCTCCTTCAAATAATACGGGTAGCTCTAACCCTCCTTCAAATAATCCGGCTAGTTCCAATCATCCTTCAAATAATCCGCCTAGTTCACATCATCCTTCAAATAATCCGCCTAGTTCCAATCATCCTTCAAATAATCCGCGTAACAAAATGGGGAATCAAGGGTTGAGTGATAGCTTGGTTGTTTACATTGAGAAAGATGTTTTTTCTTGTATTAGTAATGCAAATATAATGCGACGTTTTCATGATATGAAACCTCGTTGGCAACAATTGTAGGTTAATTGTAATGTTATTTTTTAAATTAATTATGAATAACATTAGATTGTTTAAATGATAAGGATGTTTAGGTTTTTTTTTTTTTTTTTTTTTAATTTTATTTTTAAGCTCTTAGCTTTTAAAAATTGCACCTTCACTGAAAAATTCCTGGGTCCGCCGCTGCGTGTTAGCACTGACTATGACGACTCGGGCAATCTGGCAAGTGCAGTGGTAAAAACTCATGACCATAATTTGCTCCCTCATTTAACTATTTTTTGTGAGATAAGCAAGCAGGTTTAATTTTTAATTAAACGTATAAATAGTTGTAAGGCTCTTACAGTTCATAATTGCAGCGCTCTTTCGGTTCAAATCCTCCTGGGTCTGTTGCTATTAATATTGGCTTGCAGGTTGAAAATAATGATCCACATCACAGGACAAGGGTAATGCTCAAAACTCATACTCATGATTAAACTAGCGTTTTGTTAGCATCTCTTGTGTGGTTTATTTGGTACCCATTTTAATTACAGACTGAACTGATTATAACTTCCGTGTAGGTTACTTCCGTAGAGTTGATCTTTATCCTCGTTGGTTTCATCCTAGAAATGTTGTCAGCCGGTTTCGATCAGGTTTCCTCCGCAAGTGAGCCTCTTTATGCACTAATTAGTTTGCTCTTGGCCATTGCTGCTGTGCTTACTTGCATCCTGGAGCTCATTTACAATGGTATAAAGGACAAAGATGCGTCTCCGAATAGACCTGTTTTTGGTACGTTGCTGGCCATTTTCGGATTGGGACTTGCTGTGATTCAATGTGTTTGCTCGGCAGTGCAGTATTATTTCCTCCATCAGCATGCTAGTAATCCTATGAAACTGTCACCTCTGCCTTTCTTTTTCTTCATCTGTTTGGTGGTTTTCAAATTGAAAGGAAACTAGAGCCACACTGCTTTATTCAGCCACATTATATGGTTCATGAGTTCTGAATGTATAACTAAATTATGAAATTGCCCAAAAATTAGACAATGTAGCTCATTCATTTTTATATCCAACTATTTGGTCGCATCACATTTTTTAAAATTATATATATCATTTTTATTTTTTATGGTTCTAAGGGAGCTGAAGCTCAGTAACAAAACTACATAAACAAACTTCCGCATCACATAAAATGAACTTTTTGTATATTACAAGTCAGCCCCAAATCGAACAGGTTTGATTTTACAAATGAACAAGAAACCACTCAATATGTGAACGCATATCGATTATGAAGGATTAATTACGCAAATGGTCCTCAAACTTATACCCGATTTACATATTAGTCCCTCAATTAAATTATTCATTCAAATAGTCCATCAACTCTATATTATTCGGTCAATTGGTCCTACCGTTACATTCTGTCAATGTTGCCATCAAATGTAAGGGTAAAACCGTCCATAAGCGTCCTATGTTTCCCAAATAGGTGATAAAGTGGTGATACAGTGGTGATACATATGTGATACAGTGGTGATAAAGGGGTGATAGAAACTGCTGTTTGTGTTTACCTTTGGGTCATTAACCCAAAAAAAAACCTATTTCCCAATATAGTTTTTAATTAATTTTAAAAATAAAGAAAATTTTGTATTAATTAATTTTAATCTTTTTTTTTAGTTGTCAAAAGTCTTATTTACCCCCACAATGTAGCATGTGCTGCTCACATGACTAAATTTAACAAATATGTAACGGTAGGACCAAAGTGCCGATTAATAAAGAGTTGGTGGACCATTTGAACGAATAATTTAATTGAGGGACCAAAATGTAAATCGGGTATAAGTTTGAGGATCATTTGAGCAATTAACCTCGATTATGAATGCAAAATAGGAAGCATGAGCAGCATGTCTCGCTTATAAAGTACCCGATATTTATATTTGTCAGCTCAAATATCAAGTCTTTATCTACTTTGTTCCCTAGATCCACGCATGCTTCTGGAGATTTCACTTTGTTGTGTTTGTATGTTTTGATGAGTTTGTCTTCTTCTATGTTAGGCTTTCTTGTGATTTGTTCTCTTTAGCTTTCAGTTATGCCTAGGGTGGGGATGAACCCGGTGGAACCAACCAAACTGGACTGGTTGGGGTAGTTTAGCTTGGTTAGAGCATCCACAGTGGGGGGGTGTAAATTCGGGGGTGTAAAGCCACTTTTACATCCCCTTTACACCTCCGGGGGGTGTAAATATGTTTTCTGCTCCAGTGGGGGGGTGTAAATTCGGGGGTGTAGCCGTGGGTCCCAGCCTTTTATGTTGACTTTTCTTCATTTTTCTTCTCTTTTATCGGGTGGGTCCCGCCTGCAAGAGATGTAAAAATGGATGTAAATATACATTTTATTTTACATCCCCATGGTGGTGATGTATATTTACATCCATTTACATCTCACCATTTGGAGACCATTCCGATGACTCGGGGTGTATATTTAACATACACCCCCATATACACCCCCCCACTGTGGATGCTCTTATTTTTCTCTCTATTTTTATATGAGTTGGAACTGGCTTGAATCGGTTCAGCTGCAATTTCAGTTTTGTTTTGAATTGAGAGAACCCACTCGGACCATTACTTTTTGTTTTTCATTTTACATATGTCGCATGACGTAGGAAATGAGACACTAGAAATATAACTCGCCATTAGGGTTGTTTGTATCCAATGAAATTTTGTTCAAAATTCAATCTGCTTTTTGTGGCATAGTGTTATTGTAAAATTAGGTACTACTTTTTAGTCATTGGCCTTATGTAAATTAGGTAAAATTATATTTCTATCTTCCATATT